TCTCGCTGAAAATGAAAGGAGATACATATAGTTATGGCTCTTCTTACAGGGTATTTTCTATTAGAAAAGCTCACAGAATGGTGTGGTGTACCATAAAATGACTTCTGTAGTAGATGTAGAGAGGAGAAGCTGAACCTGAATTATTACGGTACATTCTTTGAATACGCTTCGCACTTTGGAAGAGTAAGTTGAAGTATTCCGCTTGATTATTTAACTAGCGGAGGAATACTCTTAAAATCCTCAGTCATATTACAATGAGCCGGTTTGGTGGTCCCACTGAGCTGAGACCCGGTAACCTTTTCAACATAACCTCATCTTTTTATTTTCTGCTTACCCAAATGCAATCTGCATAGGTCTGACATCTGACATTTGTATAAAAGAGGCTTTTCAAATATTTCGTTTGAGAAATAAGTTTACTTGCATTTCTACATTCTTTTTGGTACAACACGGCGTCTACGTAACTTTCTTGTAGAGTGCAATCGCATTAGAGGACACAAGTATTGCTTTATTTCGGGCTCGTTATGGTTGATAATTGTTTACACCCTTACAGATTTGGATTATATCTGCCTTAATATATATTATATATATTTCTCTAATTCACCTTCTTCAGCTTTATGGGTTTTTCAGAAATGAAGTGGCCCGCCCATAGTCATAAGGCATCCGGACGGTTGACCTTAAATATCGAAAATCAGAATCACATTTGCACTGTGTAGAAATTTTAACTTAAACAGATTTTTTGGCAAGCATTCCACAATGCTCAATGGCTACTGAAATTTTAAGTAATCAAAACTTATTATTTTTATTTTTCTCTTCCATTGCTTGTGTTTGCCACACGCCATTAAAATATTCCAATGGTTTCATTACATCTCATAAACGAAGTAATTACATTTCGCTGTTTGCCACGAGTATTAACTGACATTCCGTATATAAGTTCGAACAATTAATTGAGCACATACATATGTGAGATTTTTTAAGATTAAAGAATCCAAGTGCTGAAAAAGGTAAATATAGTAAGATATTTATGTGCATACAAATATGTACAAATAGATATATGACAAATTGTGAAAGCCCCCTCATGTGTCAGTGGCATTGCTACAGCATAAGTGCTCAGCCCAGCTGTTGGTCTAGCCAAATGATCGCTACGTTGAGAAATGTAAGAGAAATGACTTTGCCTTATTTTTTTTCATTTATAATTCTTACATATTAATTAAACTAATGTTTTCTTAAATGAACCAAAAATATATTTTGGCTTGACTTTGTCGCCGCACACATATGTGCAGTCACACATGCATCCCTTGGACGGCATTTTAGAGATGTACTTTCTTCTATCACTTAGTTGTCTGGGCTATGACTTTATGTGTCAACTTGCGGCTGGCAAATTTTTCAGTATGAAATGATACAGTTCTCTGTCCCTTTCCGAAGCCTATTAATGGCAAGTGCAGGCATAATGTAAGGCTCTCACAAATGAATGAATAAAATAAAATAAAATAAAATAAAATAAAATAAAATAAAATAAAATGAAATAAAATAAAATAAAATAAAATAAAATAAAATAAAATGAAACAAAACAAGATAAATTAAAGAAAAATAAAAGAAATTTCAACAAATAGAAAAATAAGATAAAATATGTAAATTAATAGCAAAGGGCTTACTAGTCATTGCCTACAATTAAATTTAATGTTTTTATTTGCCATCTTCTTCTGTGCTATGTTTTAAACTTTCCGCTAAAAATAAAAATAGTTTTTCTTGCTGTCTGCCTTCAAACACTTCTTCATTTTAGAATACAACTTTATGAACGTATTTTTCTACTATGATCTGTAAATGTGTGGGTTAAAAAAACATGTACATTCACATTTGTATACATAGATGTATGCAGCGTGCGGGAGTGTTCCAAATGAATGCGTGAATATGCGATATGAACGACTGACTGTTGCATGGATCCATTTCTCATACACTTCCATGTGCATACATATATTATATGTATGTATGTATGTGTAAATCTTTTCAGTATATTTTTCCAATTGGAATATTTTTGTATTCATACTTACATATGTATATTCTACATATATGTACGTCGCTGTGTACAATTGTGTTTTCTATATGTTTGCATGTACATATGTATATATAATATTTCAGTCGATGACTAAAATAATTTTTTATGTATTTCGTTTATGTTTTATTTTTCGTTTGGTTTTTTATTTTTTGCTTCACTTTTACTTTGTTTGTATTAAATTCTATTCGAATTTATGATTTAAAAAACACTTTTTCATGTAGAAAAGTCTTTGATTTGATTTAGCATGTATTTTGAGTGTAGAGAATTTAGAATATTTTACTATTATACAATATATTTTTATTAGAATTTCCATTTGGCTCCATTTTTTTTTTAATTCAAATAAAATGAGAATTGTTGAAAACACTTTGCCGTAGGTGTTATGGATTGAGTAAAAATATTGTGGAAAATAGGTAAAAATATATGTATAATTGTACTAGCAAGAAATATACATACATATATTTTTGCAATCGGAAAATAACAATATCATCTACGAAATTACAGTTTTATTATTTATTTAATATATATACATTTTTCGCTCATACCAAGGCTAATTCACTACAAGTGATCACAAAGGCGAAAAGGGCGAGTATTTGCCCAACCGAATGTCATACGTGTAGTATTTATAAGCAAAGAAAAATATTTTCTTCATGGAAATGAGTTTGTGAGAATTCCTAAATTTTCTTAAAATACTAAATTCAGTATTGGAATTTTAATTGATTTAACACCTGACAATCGAAGCAATCGATTGAAGAAGAAAACAGTTGTTCTACCAACCTTTACCTTATCTGAATTCGCTTTGTTTTCATACAGAGCAGAACAATTGCTATTTTCTATTTCTTTCATGTATTGAAAACTGAAAAATTCAAAAATTTGAAATATTTTCTATTTTAAGCACTGTTTTAATATAGAATCCAAGAAGTTAATCGGAAGAAAATATATACAAACAAATCGATGACTGCACTACTCACCGAACTGTTCTCTCAATAAATCTATTGATTATTGCAAAGTGTTGCAAGTGTCACCGTCTTGTTGAAAGGCTGGGATCACGAGCTGCAATTTCAGACATCAAATGAGGTTTTCGTTCTTAATGGCAACATTTTTGAAGAAATATACATATATCGCTCAATACACCGGGAAGGAAATGCAAGCAATTGAATCTCTTCAGGCTCTTCTTAGTCCAAGCAATTTCGCTTGTTTACATACCCATTGAGCCAGAAATGTGTCTCATCGCTGAACAAAATTTGCCTCGAAAACGTCCGATCTTTTTGGAATATTTTTCAAGAGCCCATAAAGCGTAGGAATGCCATTTGGAAGGGTCGAGCGGCTTCAGTTCTCGCATAAGCTGTATTTTGTATGCTTTCAACGGCACCGAATCGACTCTCAACTATGGTGGCTATACTTTTTTTTCCGGAGTACTGGAGTAATCAATACTGGGTCTTAAAATGGCTGATAGTGTTGGAAATAGTACGCTTAGTAGGCTTGGTTATGTTGATCATAAGTTGGGCGAAGCTCGCAAAACACATTCTTTACAGAACGTGAATTTTCGTAATAAAGTTGAACGATTTGTGAACGTTGCTGAGGTCCAAGCATTTCCCTGATGAAATGCCAAACAATACATATCATGACAGCGTGACACGGCGACTCTACTCGGATCTCTGTTTGACTGTGGGCCGTTGACTTTTACGTTCCTGACTTTGAGTATATTGGACGATATTTGGTTTCAACAAGACGGCGCCACGTGCCATACAATCAACAAACAATCAAATTGATTGAATAAAAGTTTTAGTGACTGCAGTATCTTGCGTCGTGGGATTGTGGCGTGGCCTCCAAAGTCGCTTTTCTATGCTTGCTGACATACGGTCCACGATTGCTGCCAAAAGTAATCAAAAGTTGGGCCTCTCCGCTGGAATTTATTCGAGCCAGGCGCGGCAATCATTTGCCTGAAATTTCTATAAAATTGACAGCTGTCAAATTATCCCGTATTAACTACGAAAAATTGCGAAATTTGACTTCTGACTGTCAGAATTTTCAATTTGACAAATTGCTTTGCGAAAATTTTTAATTTTTGTATAAAAACTTTTTTTTCTTATAAAAAAAATATTTTTACCTTTCGTTATTTAATTTTAATCATTTGTGAGTGCATGTAATTTTCGGCAATAGAATTTTTATTGTGTTCGTATAAGGCTTGGAGCATGAAGTAAAAACATGCCGAAAATAACAAAAAATAAATAAAATGCTGACAACAGAAATAATGCAAAAAATAAATAAAATTAAAAATAAGAAAAATTAAATTTTATACAAAAATGTATAATGAAAAAAATTAAAAAAAAGAACTTCAAAGCCAAATATAATATAGAAAATTAATAAATAATCACATTTCAAATTCAAATTAAAAAAAAAAAAATACAAAAATATATTAAAAAATGGCGAAGCTAAAAAAACAATTTGGAATGCTAAATATATACATACATATATATATATATAATTTTAAAAGAAAACAGTCCGCTAATTTTAGCCAAACACCTAGAAAATAAATTCTGGCAATGTTTCTTTATCGTCTTTGTTTGAAATTGTTTTTTTTTTTTTGTTTTTTTTTTTGCATAAAAATTATGATTATGGAAATTTTTATTTCACATTTTTTGCAGTAATTTTAATTAAAATTTATTAATTTCCCCCACATTAAGTAAAATTTATTCAAGTGCTTGCAAGCAAAACAGGTCATTAATCCCATACACGAGCAATTAAACAAATTTTTACTAGAAAGTAAAAAAAAAAAATACTTCAAAAAATATTTTTTTTTCAATAATATATAATTTACAATTATATTAAAAATTAAAAGTAATTTTATTTACATTAGGAAAGCTTGATAATTAATTTATCTCGACTTTCCTTTTATTTCAACTCTTTTTTTTTAACAACCCTGCTCTCCCCATTTCCATAATTCCAGGTGAGGGCGCCAAAATGATTTTGGAGAAACACTTCGATGCCGATTGGGCAACGAAACTGAAGATCATCTACTGCGGTGATGACACCACCGATGAGGATGCCATCAAAGTGCTCCACGGTACGGGTAAAACTTTCCGCGTCTCTGAGCTGCCAACATTGAAGACTTATGCCAACTACCAAATCAAGACCGTCGAAGAAGTCGGCTGGCTACTGAAAGCCATTCAATCGGTCTATGAAGTCAAGAAGAAGTAAGAAAGTTTGTTTGTATGTGTGGTAAATTGTAAAAATTCCATATTAAAAATGAGTTAACAACAGACGATAAATACTTAGATGTGTGTGTGTGTGTTTTTTTTGTAATTTTATTTACCAACAACAAAAACAGATTTTATACTTGTGTATAATGAAAAAACAACATAAATAAACAAAAAACAAAATTACATACACACATACGTATATGCATATTTTTACTTGACTACTAATTTTTTTTTTTTTTGTTTTCATCATAAATTATTTTTGTTTGTGTATTAATCGTATTTACATACATACATACATAAATACTTTTATATAATTTTCGATGTTATTTATTTACTTTTTTTGTTTTTGTTTTTAAGAACGCTATAAAGAAAATGTGTGTTAATAAAAAAATATTAATTTAAATTAAAATTGTTGTTGTTGTTTTTTTCCCATAACTCATATGAGTTATCACTGGATCTCATCTAATCGGATCACTTAGAAAATTCCACTTTCTCTCCTCTAAGCAACGAATCTGCAGTACATTCGTGTGCCGTGATCCTGGAAGCTCCTAATATCTGCAACAAACTCCAGGCCAGAAAGCAGAAAGATATCTTGGATATCAAACGAACCAATGGAGCCTGAGGTTTAGACATAAGAAACCAATCTATGGCAGCATCTTCCGAGCAGAAAACGTTGCTACAAAAATGGCTGCAGACCTTCTGAAAGCTGCAGGCCTTCGAAAGAAGGGATATACATTTATGTAGATAGCCAAACGGCCATTAAGTTCTTACTTTCATACAACAAGAAGCCGGCTGCGGTTGAGTAATATAAAAAGATGGGTTCATATTAAATGGGTGCCCGTTCAAATGGGCATCGAAAGCAAAGAGGTAGCTGATGAACTGGCTAAAGAGGGTGTCCTTTCAGTGACTTAACCGTTCCAGTCAGGAAAGAGAAGCACTCGCCAGTTGGAAATGAGCAAAGGGCTGCAGAATCGCGAAAATTACTAGCCAAACTCTGGCGCTACCTTGAGGCGCCGCTTGTCTGAAATCTAGATCTAGTAAAGGACAACTAGTGCAGCAAGTGTAGGGAATATATGGCGGCACTGGAGCACAGTATCTGCTTACTTGACGCATTAAAGGACTTTCAATCAGCAATGGTCAATACGCCAAGCCGACGACTTCAAATTGCGAAGAGAATAGCAATATTGCGACTTCTTTTTGTACTTTCGACGCTACTACCCACTTAAGCCCAAATCTTCAAGTCCGTATACATAAGTTGTTATCTAGCTTTTTGAAATTAAAAAGTGATAATGGTCTGAGTAGTTGAACCAAGTCCCTAGCCGGTTACACTTGTATCAAAGATAAAGAGATTTACGCTGTATGAATCTTGAAGTCGTGGATTGGCGAGTTACAGGAGATAAAACCGCAGACTTGCTAAAATCTGCCTTGATCTCTCTAAGGGGAAACCTACTCATATCCTCAATCTATTACCACCAATTAAGGTGCATAATATTATTAACTGCTTTGCATTCATCATCTACTGGGACGTAACAAAGGGTTCTCCACTCCAGATGTCTGCCAAGTACAAGGCTACGCCGCTGGACCTGACTTGTTACCCCAATGGTCAATAGTCATTGGAAGTATTTCGAGGTTACTGTTCCAAGCTTATGACATTTAAACAAGGAGTTCCGAAAGGTGGTGTACTCTCGCTCTGTTATTGTAAAACATCTTTATTTTCAAGCTCCCTCCTCAACCAGAGATGATTTCTTAAAACTCATATGTGGAAGACTGGAAACAAAAGTATAGTGATCTAAACTTTCGCACTTCTTCTCTGCACGACAACTGTACAACAAACGGACGACGGAGTACCGATTCGAACTGAAGGTAAAAGTGACTTGATGACATCGAAATTCCCACAATAAATAATCAAAGCTTGCACTCTCTCACTCACACTTCGAAGGCCCTACTTGACTTAACATTTGCATCTAGTATTCGTGAAATGCGGAACCTGTCCACCACCCATAGTATACAAAGTGCCGAGGCTCCCCCGAAAGACTCGCAATATACATCTTCATACTGCATTGGACTCAATACGCTCTATGTTTGCACTAAGAGCAATAAGTCCCTATAAGGCAATAATCAGCCCTTGAAAGGCGAACTTAAATCCCCTAACTTAACACACCGACTAAAGTGCCGCTATAACAACAATAACAGGAGTTCACTCCTGAGCCCAGAGAAATTTTGGCTAAATTTAGGTATGAATATTGCAACAGACTAAACGCATACCGAAGCAGAATCGGCTTGTTTCCAGCGTTCAATGACTCCCCACACGACTCTAACTACACCGTTAAATATCTCCTAAAACCAACTCATGTAACACATATGTATCTATACAACTCTGGGTTTAAATCCACAGAAACTGCTCGTTACCAGACTATATTTGTCTGTTTTTCAACAGGAAACCACAACAACAACAATACGAGGCGTACAAATAATTGCAAGAAGACGAATAACCTTTGAAATGTGTTTCATGGAACGAGGATAACGGTTTTAAAATTAAATTAAATCTAAAAAGTGAATTTTTATTTGTTCGATTTTTTGAAGATCAGTCGATTTTACTTCTCCTTCTTCTTTGAAGACATTAGAAGAGAATACTATATGGGACCTATTCGAACAAAAACCAATCACTAGAGGAGAGGCAGAGAACTTACATATAATAACTGGAGAGGGCGATTAAATGAGCAGTTTTTTTTTATTTTACTTTGCTTATCAAAAGATCAAAAGCAAGCGTGAAAGACAAAAGAGGCAAAAATCTTCCGAAGTTTATATATATATGCAATTGTAATATTTATTTAATTGTCTAAAAGGGGAAATAATGCATTTGTGTAAAAATTCATGTCTTCCAATAATTCTTAAGCCCACTTTGAACCCAACACAGGGTGTTAACGCTTTCGGTTCAGGCACTTGCTAAATGATTCAACCCCCTGCATTTCTTCCATGCAACAGTCAACACTGACAATTTGTGTTAAGTCAGCTGTTTTATCATTACTGCTGACGTTTGCCTATTATCTATAAATATTTCGTGTAAATAAAACTAAATTGCCGTGACGAAAAATTCTATATAACAAAAAATATAAAGAGTACGAACTCTAATATTATATTAATAGAATACTTAAATATCTAAGGAAGTACGGCACTTCAAAATGGACACCAAATTGGATGTAAGTAATTGGAATTTATATATTATTAAAGAAAACAATTTTTTCAATGCGCCTCATACGTATATTTATTTGTACATGCGTAGATGTTCGATGATAACATTTCGGCATCTTCCCAATTGGAAGGTGATATGTCCATACCAGGCGCACGGAAAAACACCACACAAATAGGCGCTCCTGATTTCAATACGTTAGATGAACCCATTAAAGAGACTTTCGTAAGTAGTATTTTAATTATTCCAGTTAATTAGTTTTAAGTGCGTGTGTGACTCATAAATTTGCAATTGCTTGCATTTTAGCTCCGCGATGTACGCGCAGTTGGTGTTAAATTCTATCATGTACTCTATCCAAAGGAGAAATCAAGTCTGCTGCGTGATTGTAAGTATTATTTACATATTTTAATTTAAATACAGAGTTTTGCATTGTATTGTATTTAACACTTGCATCTGCTTGACAGGGGATCTCTGGGGCCCGCTAGTGCTATGCACATTCTTGGCTACTGTATTGCAAGGTTCCTCGGGTGAGGTGAATGACGGTGGTCCAGAGTTTGCGCAGGTATTCGTAATTGTGTGGATTGGAGCGGCAATAGTGACGCTGAATTCGAAATTGCTTGGCGGCAATATGTAAGTGCATGCATGCATACATATATAGATTCTTTATGGATGCTTGTCTTAACTCAACCTAACTTTTTCTTGTTTTTTTCAGCTCCTTTTTCCAATCCGTCTGTGTATTAGGCTATTGTCTTACGCCTGTGGCGATAGCTTTGATTGTGTGCCGTGTTATTTTATTAAGTACACAAACTAAACTCACCTTCTTCTTGCGTCTACTAACCACGATGTTAGGTTTCATCTGGGCCACATATGGTGAGCAAAATATATATATAATACGATTTGATTGGTTTCTGAAAATGTTTTTACTTTTTTTTTTTAGCCTCATTTATATTTCTTGGCGAAAGTCAACCACCAAATCGTAAACCTCTTGCCGTATATCCAATATTTCTATTCTTTTTCGTCATTTCCTGGTTGGTTATATCGCATAACTAAGTAAATAGTTTATTTGTATATGTATGTGTAGTTTACTTAGTATTTACGTTTATTAATCTTTTAAAATCAATTCCAAGGTGTAACACCAACATGATTTTTACATATAGTATAATAACGTCTAAGCGCATAAGATACTAAAATAAATAAACAAAAAAAAGGTACTTAAAAATATAGCATTGTTATGCATATAAACTGTTATTCCAGCTAGGACATGAACAGGTCGAGATCTAATACGAATATTACACACATTTATTCTTCGTCAGCTACGGCTGGCAAAAACTTCAAAAATGCCCTATCGTGTAGATTAGAACAAGCAATGAGTCCAATATGGTTAGATAGTTTTGTTAAGCATGATTTTCGTAAGAGACGAGTGAAATACAATAGTTCCCACGACAGCGTAGTATTTACACCGTAATGACCTCGTAATTTTATTCGATTAAGAACTCACATTCCGCAGAACCCACTTTGGGTATACTTTTGCTTTTACAAGCCGTGCTTTGAATCCAAGGGAAACCCTAGCCTAGTGATATTAGTACAATAAAAGTGTGGATACTATAGTGGTCATAACTCCTACGTATCTAGACTTGACTCCGACATACCTAATTGTGTCCTGCATGCAATGAGTCTCCGTTGGACACTACTGACCTCCTGGCATGATTACTAAAATTCACACATCTCATTCTCCTTTACCTCTGGCAGGAATCCGTGGAAAAAGATCATTTGTTCGGACTGCCGCTAGATAAACTCGACGGTATCAACTAATTTGCCTGCTCCTAAGCGGGGTTGAACCTGCCGCTACAACAGCAGAGACAATAACAGAACAACTGGACGTGCTCGGATCTCATAGAGTCAAACAACAGAAAAAGTTTAAGCTGCCCCATGAAACTCAAGTAATACTAGCACAACTAAAATATGGACACTGCAGTAGACTATTACTTAACCAAACTTCATATCTACATATTGTACTTAGTTCCATATGCAATGAGTTTTCTCATGGCACTTAACCACTTCTTGTATGCCCACTAAAACGCACTTACTCACTCTCCCTCTGGTCCGAATCCGTCGATATAGATCGTTTCCTGGACTCATGGGGTATCATCATCCAATACTAGGTAAAGCTCATTAAGCTGAGTGCAGAGTAGGCCGTTTGAAGCAACCTTTCTTCCAATATTCCCGTAGTTTGGTCGCCAATCTGAGGGAGGTTATGAGTTGGTTTGAGGGAGGTGTTTAGAATTACCCAAGTACTCGGCTCAGGCAGTACAAACATTGGCTATACCGAAGTTTTGCAGAGATTTTGGTCTCAGGAAGCAGCTTGAGCACCTCTTCAGCGACTTCGATATCATCATTCATGAGGGGAAGTTTTATGAAGGTTCCGTTTACGACTTGTATGAATATATGAAGCAGCATCTAGCGGGTCCCTGTTGCCCACTATGTCTTTACGGAAGTACTTCGGCAGCGGTGAAAATTGTATGTAGGGTTATTGCCTCTGGTATCATTCCAACAGATACTACTTTCTTCAATGGGAGCATAAGAACTGTTCAAGTAATGTACAGACGACATCGGGAGGTTTTCTTCGCGATCTTCAGTTGTGTGTTTGGAATGTCCTTATCGGAGAATTTACAAAACCTAAGAAAATGAGTAACTTTTTTCCATACCTACCTTTTGCCTGAACCCTCTTTTGATTTTTTAGCCTTTGGAGACATTTGTTTAGCTCCCAGAACTTCAAACTGTACTGCAAAGGTTCTGAGCCAGATTCATATCGATCTCTAAGCCACATAATCACTTTAAGGGCGAGAAAACTTTATTCGGACTACTCGGCTACGAACTCAAAGAGTAATCCGATTAAAATTGGTACTCTTTCAAGCTATCAAAAGAGGGATTCAAGTGATCACATCGAAATTTGTCGTTAAAAACGCTGGAGTATCGGCCGGGAATGTCAGCACCTTTCGAGTGTTTTTCCAACTTGAAATAAAAGCGAGCAGACTTAGAAAAACAGTGGGTCTCTCTAGTGTGCGTAAAACAAAAATCAAGACGGACACCAAGGAGGAGACCGATCAAAAATGGCTCGAGCGATAAGAAAGAACCAAATATATATATGTTTTTGGCTTCGAAAGCCACTTAGGACATAGGAACTTGGAAAATGATCTGGAACATATGGTCTCTTGGAGGTGTCTATATGAATCGACTAACTAAAGGGACAAGAAGGAGGGACTTAACCTCTTCATCTGTAATAAAGCACCTTGAGCTCTTCATAAGCGACATCGATGACGTCATTAGCGAGGAGAGAGATTTTAATTGACTTTGTGAAAGGCATTTACGGCTTGTTTACCTATATGCGGTAGCATCCAGTGCATCCATTCGTGTCTCTGCGGAGGTACTTCGGTTGCGAAGCTGCCGGGGGTAAGTGCTTGTAGTTATAATTCCTTCGGTATCTTTTCAACACAGATGCTGCCTTCTTTAACCGCAGCTTAGAGCTGTTAAATTGATGTGTCCTGAAGATCCTTTGAGGTTTCTATATAAATCCACTAGCTAAAGGGAGAAGAAGGTGACTACTAACCTTGTTTTTAGCACCAGCGGATGTCGTATGAACTTCGAAAGTACTTGGCCGGAGGCTAGATCTCTTGTTTTGCCTTCTCATTAAGGGAATATAAATACATACATATAAATATATTTACAAATATTATTATATATATATATTTTTTTTGTATTTAAAATTGCATTCACATATAAATTCTTAGCTTAGAAATACGTAAAATCATACACATATACATACATATATTGTACATACATATATAGTAATTAAATTATGAATATTGTCCACTAATAACTAAACAAAACTTTGACTATAAAAAGACAAAGTTTCGCTCTGCACCTCTGCGAATGTCAAAAGGGGAAAGAGCGAAGTTAAAAATATACAAATCCAGCAACTCCTCCGCATTCGACACTCGACATACGACTTCCCGTCTACTCGAATTGCGGCTCACGGCGACTACACATGCTCCACATCGAGACTGTTATTCGAATTCGTGGCGATTTCCAATGACATCTGTGTACGTACACCATCCTCGCGACGATTGCGATAAGTCAATGAATTAGCGCGCGCCTTACGACCCATGAAGTGTCGTTCAACCCATTTGAGTAGCGTGTAGACGGAGTCAGTTGAGGGCAAACGATGATCGGCTGCAGTGCGCACAATATCCGATGAGGTGACACGGAATGTACGCGCCATACCTTTGAGAGCCTACAGCATATGCGAGAGATATTACGTATATTATTGATTTCAGTCTCATTGACATGACACGTGATGATCGTTTTTATACTTACCACCATGGCATCTTCATCTGTCAGATCATCACCAACGTAGATAATCTTAATACGTTCACTCCAATCGACACCAAACGATGTACGTAGAATATAAATAGATGCTCGACCTTTGTTCCATTGTACTGGTGGACGTGCTTCAAGCGCACAATTTGCTTCCGTAGCTTTGAAGCCATACTTGATGATAAGACTACGTGCCTTCTCGATCATCGCCGGACGCAGTTCAGTTGGTGTTTCGCGATAATGGAATGTGAGCAGTGCACCTTTGTTCTCTACCCATGCGCCATCGCGACAGACCTGTGAGATGTATGAGAAAATGTTGTGTCAGAAAACCTATAGTCTATCTATCATATGGGGTTTGGGAGTCAATAAAATTTTAATTTGTTTTGATTCAACATGGAGCTCTGTCGCCCATTCTGTTCGGTCTTGAGTCTTCCATATCTACAGACCGACATAGGAGTAAGCTATATTCTTACTCCGTTTGAGGAGGGTTTAATCTACCCATGAAGGTCGGGAGTAGAATTTCAAAAGTTGCTATAAAGATATCGGTCCATGGAAGACGTCCATCCGAGAAAATGCCGCACCAAAGGACACTCCAATACGAGGGACATAAGTCAAGGGAAAATCAATGCGAGGTGCTTATCAGTCGCGCAAAAGAATATCAAAACTCACCGAGTCCTGCAGAGCCTTCAGCAAATGACTGACTTTGTCCTCAAACTCAATCGGCATGGGATGTACGAATTTACTGCCATCCGGATGGAGAATTTCCAGACCATGATTACCAGCATACGTGATACCCTCAATGCCAACCATTCGCTTCACATTGTCCACATTACGACCAGATATGACAGCCACATAGACATCGGAATGATTTGAAAGTTTAAAGAGCACATTTTTAATTTCCGGCGAGAGTGTGGCCAGATCTGGATGGGGAGCTATCGGGGCCAGAGTACCGTCGTAATCCAACAACAGTGCCAATTTGTGGTTGTAACCGATGTACCTGGAAGAAGATAAAAAATAATTATTAGTCTTTGATCCAACCCCATCCCTTCATGCGGTGTAACATACTTGAGTAGATAGTCATCGAAATCGTCCACTGTGACGGGTTGCATGATGGTTGTACCGACATCGTCTACATCTAATGTGCCCATCGCTTTCAAGAACGAACGCATCCAGTTGCTGACATCACATTCAGACTCACGTCTACGTAAACGGCTCATACGCAAGACACGTTCGTCTTCTGGCATCGTCAGTGCACGGTGAATAACCTCAGCGGCGGCGTGCACTTCATACGGGTTACACAACAATGCTTCGTGCATCATTTCGCCGGCGCCAGCGAATGGTGAGATAACCAAAACGCCGGGACTTTCATTGATTTGGCAGGCGACAAATTCTTTGGCAACCAAGTTCATGCCGTCACGTAGCGGTGTCACAAGACACACCGCGGCATCCCGATACAACGCAGCTAAGTCGTCTTGCGCCACATAATCGTATATATAGCGTATGGGCGCCCAGTTGGCTGTGGTAAAGCGCCCATTAATACGTCCAATTAGCTGATCTACTTCCTCCTTCAATTCTCTGTACTCCTTGACGTCAGTACGCGAGGGCACGGAAATCTGTAGCAAGCTCACCTTCTCCTTATGCTGCGGGTACTTCTCCAATAACTTTTCAAATGCCATCAACCGGTGCACCAAACCCTTCGTATAGTCTAACCGATCAACGCCCAAAATGACCTTTTGTTTGTCGCTACGTAACAGTTTACCGGCATTCTTTGCCAACGTCACGAAACGCTCATATGGTATACCAATCGGGAGTGGACGTATACGCACAGTGCGACCACCGTGTTCGACCAGCAGATTATTGCGATCGACACGACAACCCAAATTGCGCTGACAGCAATCGACGAAATTCAGACAATAGTCTTGAATGTGGAAACCCACCATATCACAGCCCAACATGCCTTGAAGAATTTCATCGGCCCAGGGGAATAAACGGAAAATGTCCCATGGCGGGAAGGGAATGTGAAGGAAGAAGGCTAATCGGCAGGGTAGCTGTTTCTCCTCGGCCTTCTCGCGTATCCAATTGGCCGCCAGCATCAAATGGTAATCGTGTATCCACACAATTGGCGGTGTGTTGTTATCCAATGCCTTGTTTTGTTCCAAACATTTCTCGAGCGCCTCAATGGTACGTGCGGCGAAATGCTTATTTACCGTTACATAGTTATGCCAGTGATCGGCGCCGAAGGTCGCACGACCGGGCATGGAGTGGAAGAGGGGCCAGAATATCTTATTGCAGCAGCCATTGTAGTAGCTATCGAAAATCGAGGCATCGATGTTGACGGAAACGACCTGTGGGAGGTGAAGAGTGAGAGAGAGAGAGAGGGAGAGAGAGAGAGAGTAAGACGAGATAGCGGAGTTGGATAAATATGTATATGAAAAGTGCTTTACTTTAATTAAAATACAAATGAAATGAAATATAATAACAAAAAACTGAAATTACAAAAAATTAAATTAAATAATTAAGATAATAATAATAAACTTGGTCAGAGAAATATAATAAATCAAATAACCAAAATAGTATAATTAAAAAAAAGATTATTAAATTAAATAAAAATAATAATAATATAAAAATGGAAATACAATCAAATTAAAAATAAACAAAATTAAAAAATATTAGAATAAAAATGAATAATGAAAAATAAGAAAAAAGAAAAAAAATTAAATTTATTGAAATTAAGTTAATTAAAAAAAAATTATACAAAAAGAAAATGAAGCTTTGTATTTATATAAAAAATTATGGTTTTAAAAATTTTAAAAAAATTCAAATTCGAATAAATTAAATAAGAGCATTATATAAATTAAAATTAATTATGAATTTGAAAAAAAAAAACAGAAGGAGAAAATGAAAATAAAAAATTAAATAGAAGAATATAGAATGAAAGTAAATTATATTATTGAATATAAATAAAATATATTGAAATAATAAATAATAAAATACAATAACTAAAATAATTTAAAAAATTTAATTAAAATATAATAAATAATAAAATGTTTAACGAAATAGATTAAAATAAGAAAAGGAGAGAATTTAAATTAAAATCTAAACGAAAATAATAGGAAATAATAAAAATTAAAATTAAATAAATTAAAAAATATTTGTAATAAAAATTAAATAAATCATATTAAATGAAAATAAATGTCAAAGTGCAAGAAAACGAAATAAAATCAAAGAAAACAATATAAAACAAATAAAATACCAAGTTTAATAAAATTAAAAAAATAATAAAAAAACTGAAATTACAAAAAATTAAATTAAATAATTAAGATAATAATAATAAACTTGGTCAGAGAAATATAATAAATAAAATAATCCAAATACTATAATTAAAAAAAAAAAAGATTATTAAATTGAATAAAAATAATAATAATATAAAAAATGGAAATACAATCAAATTAAAAATAAGCAAAATTAAAAAATATTAGAATAAAAATTAATAATGAAAAATAAGAAAAAAATTAAATGTGAAATTATTTAAAAAAAAAAAAAATTATACATTTGCATTTATATAAAAAATAATAGTTCAAATAATTAATGTATAAAAATTAAATAAAATTATTATAAAGTATAAAAATTAAAAAGACAAGGAAAAGTGAAATATATATAAATAAAGTTAAATTTTTTAATTTAAACAAATTAAATGGCTTTATGTTGAACTAGAGTTTTCCCGAAATAGCTGGCTCTACGCCGGTATGTCTGAATTCGGTATTCCTGCAAAACTTATACGGCTGTCTTATAAACTGACGTTGGCCAACACCTGAAATGGGAAGCACCTCTGCGAACCGTATGGTACCCACCGAGACAGGGTGTGACTCTTTATCGTACGAATTCTTCAATTTGATGATGGGGAAAATAATACGAGCTGCAGAACTAAATGAACAAAGCACTAACTTTTACAAGAGTGTACCGTTGACATTGATATCGTGGACCTTAATAACTGCGTTGTTAGTTCTGCCTTCTCCAAACTTGACAAACAAGCGAAGCATATGGGCTTGGTAGAGAGGGAGTACAACGAAATATCTCTTGTCCTTAAGCAAACAGTCAGCGCACTAACGCCTTGGCTCCAACGTCACGTTTGACAGTTATAACTTCAAGAACGGAAATAATTTCGTTCCCACTAGTAATAATGCGTGCCTTGAAATCTGACGAAGAAACACTTTTGTTAACAGTTGCTACTTTGAACTGAGTAGGCATTTGAAAAGTAAAGTCCGCTCTCGATGAACCAACTCGATACTCCACTAGTTAATGCTGCAGAAGCGTGGTCCTAATCGACATTCGCTGAGTCGGCTCTGGTAGTCTTCGAGAGAGAAATTTTGTGAACGATGTATAGTTCTTTGCGTATTCGTAATGGCAAATAACGCGTTATACGATGTTATACGATGACATTGATATAGTTAAGCGATTGAAGAGTCAGTGGCTACGCTTGGTAGGTAATGCTGTCCGAATGACTGAAGGCGCTCCAACTTTGAAGGTATGCGAAGTAGTACCTGACGGTGGAAATAGAGGAAGGGAAAGACTCCCACACAGTTGGTGGAATCAGATAGAGAGCGATCTGGCTTCGCTGGCGCCAAACAGTGAAGAGAAGAAATGTATGGGTTGCTTTTTATTGATTCGGCTATAATCGCATAGGAGTTACCCAAGCCAAGGAAGAAGGCGACTTCGATGGCATGAAATATATAAATGGTTCTAATAAGATTTTTATTTGCTTTCAACATTATTTATTTTATTATAACTTATAAAAAAAAACTGTTGGGTTAAAACGTATGAAAAACAAAGAAAAGTTTAGCAGAAATTAGCCTAAGCAAGGAGTTTCCCATGTTCCGCATTTCAAGTGAATAAAGCTATAAATGCGATCATTTCAGATAGATCGGTTCCAAAATGAAAATTTCTATACATTTTGGAAAAGCTTTCTATGTTCCAGATACTAAGTAAATGGAAGGATAAGCATGATTTCTTCGAATAAACGGTACTGGGTCCACTTCAGCAAAGAAAAGTTCTCCACATATTAACCTTGGCAAAGAGCCATCTACGTCTGATCGATGTATTAAGCAATTGTGGCCAAAAATATATACTCGTATATAATATATAAATTTTTTTTCGAATAGATCAGTCCCAAGTTTACTGGCCTTTGCACGCCAATTCGGGCAAAAAATGCCTTATTTCATGTAAATCGAATGATTTATAAAAAAAATCGAGTTTTTCGTTTAGAGTGGGCCCGGAAAATCCTTTTTTATTGGATGCCTAGGGCAAAACACCCTTCAAGGTTCAGATCCTTACGATCAGTTGTTTCCGCTGTAACTTGGTCCGCCAACCATTTAGGACAAAACCTTCTGTGCATAATATATTAATTAAATTAACCGAGGACTTTGTCCTCTGTCAGGTCCATATTAAAACACGTTGGGCAAGCCTTGCTCTCCGCTATATGATTTGCTTTGATTTATGTGAAGAAGTCGCACTAATCATACCCTGGAAAAGGATTCTAATCTTCAATTGAGTATTCTTGGTGTGATGAATGGAAATTGTCAGTGTGGCTATGAAGTTGGTGAACTGTCTTAGAAATGAGCTCGATAATTCTGTCTCATTATTTTCAGCGAACTTTCATTTTACAACTCATTAAGGCTTGAATTACATACATATGTATGATTAGCGCTTACTGTGTAGCTGAGTATTAAATTTTTTCAAATTTTGGTTCCTAGATCTAATAAAAATGCAAAATTAATGCTGCCGAGCTGTCGTGAAATAAATAACCGAGGCGCTCAACCAGTGCTCTTTTAGCGTTTATACTTAAAGCTAAGACTTTTTTTTAATAATTATCTTAATTTTTTATAATTCCTTAAGTTTAATGAGCACTTCACGTCTCTACTCACCTGATCCGATTTCAAGCCAGCTGTGGGCGTCTGATCAGTTGGATTCGACTCGGGTATGGGTTCATTCGGATCGGAGAGATGTATGCCGGGCCAACCGACCCACAGGCCTTTACCCTTTATCACAACAGGACAAACAGCCGTTACAAGTCCGCCAGCGCTGGAGATAAGCGAAAAATGTAAAGAAAAGAAGAAAAGTTAAAGGGAAACTATCAATAATAAATACGAAATATTTTTCACAAATAAATCAATGCGTAAGGAATCAAGTAATCAAGTGCATAACAGTATTATTTATGTATGTATGTATGTATATGAATTTATAATAAATCACATTTTGTAATCAATATTTACAGCCACCGAGGGGCAGGATAATAAGTTTCACTGTAAATATGTACATACACACATTCTAACATATGTATGTGTGACAAGGGAACACGTACAAATAAACATACATACATACGTACATGTATGTGTATAATAAATATGTTCGTATGTGTGTGCTTTTGTGTTATATTTATTATATTAATTATGATACTGATAAGAGCGTTGCTAAGTGTTTTGACACCGTTATTTTAGTCTGTACCACCGAGCCTCTAGCCCATACTGCCGTGCATACATACATATAGTTATATGTATATACAATACATACATGCAAATATTGTTTACCGTAGTTCAAACGCCCTGCTGAACATGTAAACCCACTAACAACGGTGTCTATCAATAGAACCGCCAAAGACAAGAAGAAAAACGCTTTGTAAAAAAAAATTAAAAATAAATTAAAATAACTTTGTTTTGGAAAACCAAAGCGGAAAAAATTAAGAAAAAAATAATAATAATAAAAATAAAAAAAAAGGGAGCACAGGAACGATGACCGCAATATCAGTTGGATTGGGCGTCAGTAACGGTTAAAGTGGAATTTATTGAACCAACTTGATCTCGTGATTTCTTATACTCTTATGTACGTATAAATATATATATATATATGTACATATTCGTATATACCTATAACATGTTCATGTTTATATTTTTGTTTTGTTAAAAAAGAGCTTTTAACGCCAGGATTCTATATAAATATGTACATATGTAACATTTAAAGAAACCACACACATTCATACATGTAGAAACATACTGCGTTTGCCTTCTGTAAGTGTAAATTTTGTTTGTTATTAATTTACTTTCTGAAGCTAACCTAAAAAAGAAATAAAGTAAATTTCCATAAATTATACAAACAAATGGATTTTTTTTTTCACTTTCATTTTTTTTAATGCACTGCAGAGAGCAATCCGTAGAATCACAAAAAAAGGAGCCATGCAATTGCTTATGGTGAGCTCGTAATGAGTCAGTCAACTGCAACCTAACCTAACCTAACAGTTTGGGTGAAAACCCTTATATAATACATTCCACTTTTCATATGTAGACAGCTTTAGACAATGTCAAACCTTTTGGCGTGCTTTTGAAAAAAAAAATTTATATCCCTATAGAAGAGCTTACACAGTTGTGAATGACGACGCTCCAAAAACATGATGGACCGAATTTCCATCTGCGAATCGCTGCTGAATCGTAACGAAATCGACCCGTTTCTGAAGCGGATTGTGAGTGGCGATGAAAAATGGGTCACTTACGACAATATCGAGCGCAAACGGTCGTGGTCAAAGCTCGTGGAAGTGGCCCAAGACGGTGGCCAAGATCGGATTGATGGCCAGGAAGGTTTTGCTGTATGTTTGGTGGGATTGGTAAGGAATCATCTACTATGAGCTGCTCCCCAAACGCTCAATTCGGCCCTCTACTGCCAGCAAATGGACCGCTTTAAGACAGCACTCATTCAGAAGAGGCCATCTTTGATCAACAGAGGCCGAATTGTGTTCCATCAGGACAACGCTAGGCCACACACGTCTTTGGTGACGCGCCAGAAGCTGAAGGAGCTTGGATGGAAGGTCCTCATGCACACACCTTATAGTTCGAACCTGGCACCAAGTGATTACCATCTTTTCCATGACGAGCTTGGCGCTTAATGGTGAGAAGTTGGCATCAAGTGAGGCATGTGAAAATTGGCTCTCCGAGTTTTTTGCCAATACAGACGCAGCCTTCTAGGAGAGGGGTATAATGAAGTTGTCATCTCGTTGGCAAAAAGTTTACGAACAAATCGGCGCATATTTGACTTAATTCGGACAAATGTACACAAAGTTATCATATTTTGAAAAAAAAAAATCAATAAGAAAACCGAACGAACTGTTTACTTTACCTAATATATAAAGGGTTTTCCAATAGCAGGTGTTATTTTGAATAGTCTGCCACATCAGTAACATACTCGTGTATACTCGTAGCATTGAAAAATTCGCTATAAAAATTTTATCGAAAAAAATCTTGACTGATGGCGCGCTCTTCCAGCTCAATGCTTAAGTCTAAAAGCAAAACTGTCGCATTCGGGGCGCGGAAAGCCCAAAAGTCATTGTTGAAAAGTCTCGCCATTTATGGTACGACAGAGTCACCTCTAAAATCTTCTGTGAAATCCTCGAATCGCATTTCTATAGGAAATCTATCGAATAAGCCTCATAATACATATATAATTAGTGCTTTGTATCCGCTGAAGCGATTTTCCTCCACCAATTTGTGGTATGCGGCTTGATGTTCTCCAACATTTTGAGGGACCCACAGCTCATATTAAGCCACCTCCGAACGGTTTATGGTTTTTTTTTATGAGGAGGTTTATTTCATTTCAAAAATACACTCGGAGGATTTGACATTCCCTACCAAGGGGCGACCGCAACTAGAAAATTCAACTTAATACCGAACGAAAATTCACTCAATAGGATTTTAGACTATAATCGAAGCTCGAGGGCAACTCATAAAAGGGGGCCTTAGTCAAAAACATACTATTATTATTGCGTGTATGCATATTTGATCTTTGCGCTAAGGAATGTCCTTATATATACAGATATATATATATATTTTTTTTTGTTGTTACCCTGACATTATTCATTCCTCTCTATGTACAATAGTTGGCGAAGCGGGGTATCAATTTTTGAGCCCCGACCACTTCTCCATCTCCACCTACTTTACCTTCGCGTACGGTTAAAAACTTTTTTCCACCCATATTTAGCTGCTGGGAGGTAAGGGGATAGTGATTTGAAGGTGAATGGACGAGATGATTCAGTATATCCCGTTCCATTGCTGTGCAGCAGGCAAGCCTTTTGTCAGAATGCCTCTCCTTTTGTTATAAATCACCCTCCGCAATTTTTAGGATCTTGAAGTATTTCGCAGAGTTAATAGTCCTCGCAAAGAGATAACTGATGACGAAACGTATTTTGCGTAGGGCGGGAGACTGGGCTGACATTGATCACGAAATGTGTTATGATATCGAACCAATCTCGTTGTAAGGGGCAGAGGTCTAGCTGCACTAGCGTGTTGCCAACGTGTCGAATATATATATATAAATTCCCTCCGGCCGCGAGTGTTTCAGTAAACTTACTTTCTGGATATGTTTCGTATATTTTATTTCTATTATTATAATTATGTTTATGGAAGGCTATGCAGGGCCACCAACTCTATGTATGAGGTAGCAGGCAGCCAGTGTAATCTAACCTAACCCTAATATGAAGTATTTATTTATATTTTCATATATTTGTATATACATACATATATTATATTATGTTTATATTATTACCCCTTTTATTCATAATATTACACAATGCAATGTTTATTTATTTTTTTGTTTTTTTTTTTTAATAACAATGGAATTTCTATAAGTATGTTCGATGAAGTATTGTTGCCAGCAACAACTCCAAAAGCTGGATATATTTCATTAATAAGAATACTAAAGCTCATTTTGCTTGGTACTGTAAAACCATAATTGGCTATTAAATTAGCAAGCCCTGAGGTACTCCTATGTATGTATGTATGTAAAATGATTTTTCAGACCAAAACTTGGCCAAATGAACGAAGAGTTCCGATCTGGATTACGCTAGATGGCCTTGGAAAGATAATATTTTCAACTAAAGAAGATACTGTGTAGAGTGTTGATTAATTGCCACAAAAGTGTTTGAAGGGATCTTGATGATGGACTTTAGCAGGAAGAAAATACACCTCATTCTACGAAATTTCTTCGATAAAGGCGAAAAAGTAAGTTAGACAACTCATACTCAATCATGCAAAATTTTCATTGGTTAAGTGTAGCAGGCCAATTGTCGAAAATATCGCTCAAATAGACGAGTCTGAACGTCAAGCGAGCATTGTTTCGATTGCTCAGGAGCTAAACGTTGCACCAAAAACAATTTGGAATCAGTTGTAAAAGGCTGGATATATAAAGAAGCTCGATATATGGATGCCACATGGGTTAACGAGAAAACAATTATTAACCGAATGTCCACCTGCGAATCATTGGTGGTCGGATGATCGATGGAAAGTCAGTTAACACTTACAGCTACGTTCAAAGAAGAGTATTTCTGGTCGAAGGGCAGTGAAGTGGCACAAATGTTCTCCAAGCCAGTAATTAAGGCAGGCAGATTGTGTATTTGGTGGGATTAGCAAGGAATCTTAAATCGGAACTGTACTGTCAGCAATTGGACTGTCTGAAGGAAGAAATTGCACAGAAGTGCTCAACTTTGGACAGGATAAGACAAGACAGACCACATACACACATCGATAGTCACTCGCCAGAAGCTCCAAGAGCTTTATTGGGAGGTTATTATTATGTTCACTTAATAATCTGAACCATATGTTCTTTTTTAAGGCGAATGATATGGCTCTTTACCAGTCACAAAGGATATGAAGAGAAGACTGTAAAAATCGATTGTCTCTAATTGTTTGCCAAGCAACACTAGGATTTCTATGAGAGCGGCATAATGGCGTCACCTTCAAATGGCAAAAGACTATCGAAAAAAGTTACAGATTTGAAATAAAGCATATAATTCTAATTGCGGTAAAAAAAGCCTTTAAATTAATGCAAAAAATAGGGATTTGTTTTTATATTGTAGACCAATACATTAAGCACCTAAAGCAATGGTGGATACATATCCATCTAACTATGTACGAGTATATCGTCCTTTATTCATTAACTTTTGTTTTTCAAGATTTTTAGTGTAATTAATAAAAGCTAAAATATAAGCAGGGAATGTCCACGCCACCGTGTGTATTTCGGGCATGAAATAAAGGCTTTCCGTAAAAAAACCATCGGCCGTTCCTAGGCGGCTTACACGGTGTGTTCCAAAAATAACCGAACTTTATATTTAAATCATACAACATGCAGCGCCATCTATTGTAAATTTGCAACATTAAAAAGATACATTAATGCTCTTTCAAACGCACCTAAAATCATGTAATTCGGATGACAGATGTAAAAGTGACAGCCATTTCAATAAAACCAAAAGTGTGCCAATGGTTCAAAAATAAAATGGAACAAAGAGCAAATATAACATTTTAAGTCAAACTTGAAAAAAAAATTAATGAACAAAGTTTATTGTGATGATTGTATGAGTCGTACGCAAGTTTATAAGTGGTTTACACGATTTCAAAATGATCGTAAGGATTTAAATGACGACCCTAGAGCAGGACGTCCAGAAATTAGTAATCGTGCTGAACTGGTGGAAAAAGTCCGTGAAATCATTGGTAACGATGCAAATTTTACTACGAGAATGTTAGCTGAGGAATTGAGTACGAATAAAAACACTATTTGGAGAATTTTAACTGAAAATTTGGTGAAAAGAAAGGTTTGTGCGCGATTTGTGCCACATGAATTAAATGACGACCAAAAAATCGGTCGAATTTTTAATGAAAAAATTCTTATCTCTCATCGACCATCCTCCGTATTCGCCTGATCTATCACCATGTGACTATTTTTTATTTCAAAAACTGAAAACCAAGATGAAGGGAGCATTTTATGATGATATCCCAGACATTCAAGCAGCAGTAACCGAGGTACTGAAGAACATTTCTATAAATGACATAAAAAAACCGATGCATGCGCTGGTTGATCCTTCCGAACGTTGTGTTGATTCAAATGGAACCTACACGTATTTTGAATAAATAATAACTTTCAAAGATAATATGATGTGTATTTTATTTTATATCCCCAAAGTTCGGTTATTTTCGGGACACAACGTGTAGTATAAACTGTAGGTCCCGCCACTTGATTAAGACGCAAAACTACAAATTGGAGGAGGGGATTGACCGAAAACTTACTTCAGCGGTTACAAAGCGCCATTTATATTGTATATATGAATATTAGCACAACACCGTTATCGTTGTCTAACAACTTTGATATTTTTTAGATATCCTTTGAGAACTATATTTATCATAGGATATTTATGGTTCGATTTACTTGAAGTTTAGAGGAAGCTTTTTGACCTCTACTTGTATTAAGAAGAAAATTTATAGTTTTTCCTGAATTGAGAACAGGTAATTTTTTCCAATTATTCGTAGAAGAAGATTTTTACAGAAGGAAATTTCACTTTAATCCAGGAAATAAACCAGGAACCGATTTATACTCGCACGATACAATTTTAAATATGTTTCGATTCGCACTTGATGGATGGATGGATGGTACAAAGAAATTCATTTCTTTTCGAGTAGTTGACCTGACACCGATCTATACGGAAGAATCGTATTTATGGTTCGGTTTGCTTGAGCTTTTCTTTCCTCAAACAATTTAATTAATTTAAGGCAGGGCTGTTTACTCGACTAATGTGTTCTATTCGACGACAAAACGCGTATAAGAAAATGAGAGGGATGAGATTTTACATGGTCAGTCTATGTTTGTTCTTGTGCCGCACTGATTTCGAATTGGGTGAGGCGAAGTTTGTCAGGGCCACTAGTACACATATATATTAAACATAACCACGGTTTTCGGCCGAGCTACTTCTTCAATTTGTGGTATATTTTACAATTTTTTCCAACATACAGTTTTATTCCAAGCCGCTTCCGAACAGCTGATGGTTTTTATGAGGAATTTTATTTCATATCAGAAATACACTCTGAGGGGTTCACATTCCCTGCGGGGAGGATACTGCCATTAATAATTCATTTGTTTTAAATTAAATTTCTTTAAGTTTGGATATTGGTCTGGTACAAGGCATGACAGACGCACTGGCTACCGCTCGGCATATGTACATATATCGCCTCCTTTTGATTTGAAATATTAGAAAAAATGCTTTAATTGTATTCACATAGGAGAGACGTTTGCTTTGGTTGCATTATCACTGAAACTGTAATAGCATCGATGGTATGCCCCTTCCTCTTATAGAAATACTCCGTAAGTATTCAGTCGAAGATTTTATGGATGTGAGTTTCAAGAAGTATGTCGCTAAAGCTTACATTGAAGATATATATATATATATATATGCATTTTTTTATTTATCTTCCAATACTGAATCCAACAGCAGCTTCTTTGATATTTAAAACTGTCTTAATTCTAACTTTTTCACATTTTTAAATAGGAACCCAGCCTTGGGACGGTTGTAATACTTCACGTCTGTGCCAAATTTATTCAATAAAATCCAGTTCAATATTTTTTTTTTTTAAATAAAGAATTCAAATCCTACACAAAAATGGTATTTATTAGAAACTAAAAACACTGTGATTCTGTATTTCTAGACGAGAACTGTCAAATATTAAATATTTTTTTCTTGAAAAACGCTTAGACGTCCGACAGCTGTTTATAAATACTATTAAAATAATATTTGTGAAGACCGGCCCCCAGACATTGAAATAAACTGAAATGATCGATATCTCATACGAATTTCTCGTTTCTTACTGTCCGCTTGAAACTCTGGCATAACTCAGAGCTTGTATTTCTAGAAAAAAAAAAAAAAACAAAGAGCTTGCTTACTCACCTCGCTTTTCGTTCCAATTTCTCAGTTTTGGCATCACGACTCAGCACAAATGGCAGACGATTCGAGACCACTATCAAACTGGCCTTCGTCACTGGCTCCGATGAGCTCGTAACCACAATTTCCGTTTCGACCATTTTACCGTTGTTTTGTGTGGAGGAGCTCGTCGAATATTCCAAAAAATTTAATATTGGACTATAAGCACACAAATGGTGTCAGTGGTATGTGTTAGAAAAAAAAAACAAACAAATCTTGTTTTGTTTTTATGTTTTAAGCGAAAAATATGAATTGAAGCTTTTTACTTTGAATTTTTTAAATTCTTTAAGTTAAGCAAAAAAGATCGAAAATCAAGCATGCAAAAAAATCTAAAAGTTTTTGTTTTTGGCACTCTTTTTTTTTTTAAAGTTACTACACGAAAATCGAAATTGAAAACAAAGAAGAAAAAAAGAAAACGAAACTTTTAAGCTCGCACTGTACTATTTTCAAAACAAAATGTTTACTTTATTTTTATTTTTATTTTTTTTTTAGTTCTTGAGTTGTTGTTGTTGTTCTTGTTGTTGTTTTTTAAAATGTCACAAACCCCATTAAAAATGATTTATGTTGTTGCTGTTGCTGTTGCTGTTGCTGTTGGCGTTGCTATTGCTCGTGCTACCACAAAAACATGTGTGTGTCGATAAATAAGTTGGGAAGAGTCGTCTTCACTACTTCTCAAATGGTATCTTCCATCTATAGACAAGATAGAGTCAGGTTTGGCCCAAAAAATTGTTGCTTTTTGTTGCTTTTTGTTGCTGGCAACTCGTCGTTAGAGGTAGGTAGGTACTAATCAAAACCACGTTACGATCTGTGCGAAGTTCAACAACGAACTGAACTGAATCTCGTTCAGGTTATGGCTTGTAAAGCCTCGCGCTCGACTTTAAAATGACGATCCACATACGAACACTACAACTACATATGACAGCAACGCGAAAAGGCGATAATTTCATTTGAATCTTCTTGAGCTCACTTGACTCGCTGACTCGTTGACGTGTTGACTCGCCTCGTCGCGTTGGGATGATGCTGAAAGAATGGAACTTGACTTATGCTGACTTAATGCCTATAAAAGCATCGAGGTTTTTGTCTTTTGTGTTTGGGTTTTTTTTTTTCAGTGCAGGAGATAAGACCGTGAGTTTGTAAAATATTTCTTTTTTCCCTTTACATACTAAGTACTATAATAGACGAGTATATTTACCGCCGACGTGTTCGCAAACGTAAATAAACAACAAACGCGATGCGCGTTGGATTACGGCAACTTGAAAGTTAAACCCATTATAGGGACACTGATTCTCACCGTCAAACCAATTATGTAGGTAGTTGACTAACTAAATTATAGATTGCTTTCTACACTCACCGTGAGCATGTTCATATGTTTGTCTAGTTCGTGTTTGGAAATACGCGACAAAAATACAACCAAAGACCGAGTGCATCTCGAACGTCGTCGTCGCGCACAATGCATTCGCCGCCGCCCCACTGTGGGGTGTGTGGGTATTAAGTAAATTGAAAAAAAACACAAGAAAGAAGAGCGCTCTTCGAAGTCTTTATACCTTTCAAGATCATATCAAATTTATGGTACCAATTTCCCGCTTTTAGATCTTTTTTGACGATTTTTTTTTTCTGAACAAATCGGTAGTATATATTGCCCTCATACTATATATAGTACAATACAAAAATTCGATGATTTTCGGTATATATATATATATATATATATATACATATATATTGGATGAGTGCATAAGTTCGTGCCCGATTTCAAGTGCAAACTTAAATTGAGATTTTTTGAAGAAAGCGCTTTTATTAATCAATTATGTATTCGCCATCCTGTTCGGCAATCCACTCCCAACGTTCAACCAATTTACGGATGCCTGATTCATAGAAATCGCGCGGTTTCTCGTTGAAAAAGGTGTCAAGGTGGTTTTTGACGTCTTCCACATTTTTAAATTTTTTTCCATTCAAATTGCTCTGCAGCGATCGAAACAAATGATAATCAGAAGGTGTAATGTCGGGTGAATATGGGGGATGCAGCATGATTTCCCAATTCATCTCCTTCAGTCCTTTTTGCAACATGTGGCCTGGCGTTGTCATGATGGAAAAGAACTTCTTTGCGATTGGCCAAAATCGGACGTTTTTCATCAATTGCTTTCTTCAATTCGACCAATTGCTGACAATACTTGTTGGCAGTGATCGTTTCTCTAGCTAGCAAGAGCTCAAAATAGATCACGCCTCGGATATCCCACAAAATGCACAGCAGTACCTTCATCGGATGCCATCCACCTTTCGACATCGGTTCCGCCCCTTCGTGTGCCTGTTTCCATGTTCTTTTGCGTTGACCAAGTTGTACAGGATCCATTTTTTATCACCAGTCACGTGCCGATGCAAAACAGGTTCGTTTTTGATCCGTCGAAGCAAAGAAATTGCTTTCTCTTCTCTAAGCAACTCAAATCAAAATGAAATTATTTTCTGCTTGATTTACAGTTCGGACTGTCACCTTTCCATTTCTTTCACGAGCGCCACTCTCAAACGATTCGAACGGCATCCAGCGGAATCGGGCACGAACTTATGCACTCATCCAATATAATTGGCGCTCTGTAACCGCTAAAGCGATTTTCCGAGATCCTCCTCCAATTTGCGGATTTGCGTCTTGATGTTTTTTCAACAAATGGAAGGATCTACAGTTTATACAAATCCGCCTCCGAACGGCTGATGTTTTTTTTTTACGAGGGGCCTTTATTTCATGTCCGAAATACACTCGGGGAGGTTAGCACTTCCTTGCCGTGGAACGACCGCAATTAGAAAATTTAGCTTAATTTTTTGTGTAAATTGATTATCTATAACTTTTGGATGTTGATCGCACGGGGATTTGAACCTGTGTCTGCCAAATGGCACTACGCAATCCTAACCAACACTCGGCTATCGCGGTCGCCCGTGGATATACGTGAACAACATACCGAATTTCACGCTTCAAGATTCTCTTTTGACATATTCATGGCCCAAAATCTGAAATCTGAAAAATCGGTCGTATATATGCTATAGTGTTTTCAAGTGTTTACCGAGTTTGCTTGAAATATCTCGAAAGGGACTGGCTTGCGCGCAAATGGACATGGCAAACTCTATTCAACTCGTCATTTTAATCCGAACCTCGTAACATCTCGGCCTACCGTATCATGTACATGAAAGGTATACTAAAAATTACCGTGTAAATGCAAACAAAATCACATACCCACACGAATACGACGAACACTTTTAGGGTCCAACGAAGGCGCAGCAGACGATCAGCTGAAAAAACGACGACGACGACAAAAGCGTCAACTACCAAGACAATGTTGTCAAAAAGGCATACATATGTACATCCAAACATACATATGCATGTGTGTGTGTGTGTGCGCGTATTAATAACTATAAACAATAATAAAATATTAAACAATTCGTTGTAAATAAAATAAATAAATGTTGCACTGTGGGCGGACGGTAGAGCGGCCGAGCGGTCCATATATGTATATACATACGAGTACATCTCTTATCAATCTTCAATTGCACGATTCCAACGGCTGACACTACCAAAACAGTTGTATATATGTATGTATATAAGTATACAGTTAGTGATTACGAGTAGTGAGTATTTTCTATTAGTTTCGAACATTTGATAGTTGCCCACTTTGAGTATGCGGATTTTGAAGATTTAGTAATACCTACTACATACATACATTCACACTATGCACATACATATGTATGTATGTATGTTACGTAGGTATGTAACATACATACAAATTTTTATTTATTTTTGATCCGAAGTATTAAGCATTTGAGCGTAGATTAGATGCACACATACATACATACAACACAAATTGGGTTGCTTAAACATAGACTTTCACATAACGCAGCGAAATTGGCTCGCAAACAATCCAAGGAAGAATTGTAAGTTCCAAAAAATGTCGCATGAGTCTGGATGTGATCCTGTAAGCAGAGCCTAAAAGCAGCTTAGTAGTGGGCAAACAAGGAATTTCCATTTAATCAGCGAACTATTTGGTTTGTTCTTCTTCCCTCCTTAACTTAGCAGGACTGAAAAGATATTATACAGAAGATTCCTGATCAAACTACCAGCTTGAGTTATCCTTTCAAAGATCTAGAAGAAGTGCATTGAGTTCGCTTCTATAAGACAACATTGTAACATACAGTTCGCTGGGGGGATTGTTGTTTTGGCTAAATTCATCCTTCTTATATTTCATATACGTAGCGCTGCTTACGCGAGCGCACCAATTGCTTCTTATTTTCGCCATTCGGAGTAGAGTTCTTGCTTTTTTGGCTACTTCAACCAACGGATGCTGCGTGGACAACATTCAGAGCAGAAGTGTCTTTGACCATCCCAACGACGTGACCTAATAAAATCACATACAAAACTATTGTATGTCAATGTCTATCGTCTGCGCCATTCACCGTCACTCATACGCAGCGGGCACTGGCAGAGCGCACGTTGAATGCTGATTCAAGCTGAGCGCAAAGCTGTTAAATGCTAAGGAGCGTGATGCAAAGTATTTTTTCATTTGACAACTGTTTTTTATATTGAGCTTCACGGCTCGGTTTTAGGCGTGCACTCTGCAAGAGGTTCAAAACTTTATCTTCAAGATTTTCAAAGAATACTCACGGAGTATTGTCAACATCGACGCTTCAGGGTGACTCGGTCTGAAACATCGTTCAATATCGAACGGTTCGGAGAAGCCCTTCTTAATTTTGACTGTGCTTGTATCGTGGCTTGGCGTCAGTTTTCAAGCTGATGCATGCATCGTCTCCGTCATGTCTGAAGGAATCAATATTTGAACTGCATCTCAGTTGGATGATTGAACTACTATACCGTGCGACTTACAGCAATGTTGGAAGATCCATTTGGGAGATCATGCAGAATCTTCGATATATATGAAAAGAAAGAAATAACATAAGGTACATAAAAAACGTAATAAAATTTATATAGGAATCTCGTTGGCTGGACTAAAAAACATCACTGTGGCACAACTCTGACTACCCACAGCGTTAATCACTCCTAACTACATACATAACTTTAGGCGGTCTAGAAGATAGTCTAGGCTCATTATGATACCGCTTCGACTTCTCAAATGTTTCGTATAAACCCAAACGAGATTTTCAATTTTCGCTGATGCTAGCTCAGCGATACAGCCGATGAAGAATTTTCCGAGGCACTTGTGTGGCGCAGATGACAAGGCTGGACAGTAAAAGAGATGGTGTACAATAGACTCTTGCTTTACTTCGTCCCTACAGCTGAGGTAAAAATTATTAGAAAAGATTTTTTGCGTCCAATTTTAGACATCTAGAGTCTGCTTCTTTGGTAAGAGCTCATGTACTTTGCCTGGGATACAGGTCTACCTGCAATGTGTGTTTCATAGTGGATAGAAGGGTTCCTTTTTTCGTCAGTTCATTTGCAATGCAATTGGCCGGGATGTCACTGTATCCGAGAACCCACATCCCGGCAGTGTGGCATTTAGTCGAGAGGCTGTTCAGATTACTACTACTACTTTTTACACTTTTGATGTCAAATTTTCGTGATTTCCGGCCACCATAAGAGTAGGATTGGTCTAACTACCGATGTATAAATCCAGTACACGATATTCGGTCTTAGACCCCATCGTTTTCCCAACGCCTTTTTGCAAGCGTAAAGTGCAGTTTTATCCCTTCTTGGTGCTCTCTGCCAAGATGAACCATTTTCTTAGAAGAGACTCCCGAATCTTGACAATAGGCTGTTGGAGATCTATTTCTTGAAGTGCCTCTATTACGAATCCAGGAAGTATGTTATTAAAAATCCCTTCAATATCCTGGAAGATAACAAGCTTATACTGCTTCATAATACCAATAAGGGCTGTACCGAAGAAGAAAAAGGTAAGGCTAAGTCCTTTGAACCAAAATAGTTGGCGCTGCCTGCTTTTGCGATCAAAAAGTACTTTCACCCTAGTCCAAACCTGGGGAATATACTACTAACGCAGACAGGCTTTCAATTTTTATCGCCCACTCCACCCTTCTGCGACTTACAATGTTGCTGATATCAGAGATGTACTCACTATACCCTATTTGGGGGTGTGTAGTAGAACATCACGG